TCTTTCCCTCAAGGGCACCACCTCCCCGGTGAAACTACCCTTCCCTTTAAGATGCAGGGCAGGGAGACGGGAAGGAGAGGAGGCTCTTCCACCTACAGTCCTCCCCACACCCAGCGTATAGGGAGGGCAAGGAGAAGAGCCCCAGATATCAGTTGGCCGGATCTCGTCCCCTCCTTCCAGAGGCCCGGAGGAAGGAGCTGAAAGACCTGGCTTCCCGGGCGGCCATCTTCACCAAGGAAAATGAGCTGAAGAGCAAGGAGGTGGGTGCAGAACCAAGCAGCTGTCTGAGAAGAGATGAAATGGACTCACTCCTTTGTAACTAAATCCCTCCCACGTGGCTTCCAGCAGATCAGTGTAGAGCGAGCCTTCCTGAGAGGCGCTACTGTTGGCACAGGGGAAGGGGCCCATGAATTCAACCCAAGGGGGAGGGTCCCAGTGAGGGTTCAGAGGACAGAACGTACCAGGTGGAGAAATCCAAGAAGGGCTCATAGTTTAGAAGCGGATGGGGAGAGGCGTACCTAGTGGAGGCACACAGCATAAAGGCTCACAAGCTGGAAAATGCAGGGCATCTTTAGAGACCAGAGGGCTGAATAACAGGGTACAAGTGGGCAGCAGTGAGGGAGAAGGTGGGAGAAGGGCTGACTTTGGACGTAGGCAAGATCAGCTTGTTTCTCATTTCTGAACTTAGTTTCATGTCTAATCTGAGAAGGGGTGGAAAATCCCTGAAGAATTTCAGACAGAACGGGGGTGGCCTCCTGGGTGCTATGTGCTGATAAACCAATAAGGACAAGTGGGAGGCAGCTTGAAGGTGGTTGAAATTGGTCCTAGGACAGGCCCGGACCTCTGCGGCTGAGTCTGGTCCTGCCCTTATCTTGGGCAACAGAGTTCTCGTCCCTGCTCTGCAGCCAACTCACTGTGACACTCAGGGCAACTCAGCTAAGCTGTCTGGGTCTCAGTTTTCTTATCTTTAAAATGGGGAGAAGGATACTACCAGTCTTAACTGAAGTTCCAGGGGCAGGAGGTCCTAGGCCTTGTGCCCACAGGCCTGGCTCAGGAAGGTTTCCCAGGGCAAAGAAAGGATGGCAAGCTGTGGGGGACAGTATCCTACACCAAGGCAGGATACTGTTTTCAAATCTCTGATGGGCTGGGGGGAGGGGCATGGGGAGGGCCCACCCAAGAAGAAGTACAAGGACCACCCGAGAACCATGGCGGGGAGCCAACATTCGATGAAATTCCAGCAGGAAGAGCAATAGCTATAATGGAAGGGCCACCCCACTGGCAAGAGGGGTCTAGGACAGGGTCGGGCTGGCCTCGGTGATATCCTGGGTCCCTGGCCTCCTCCTCTTCTTTTCCCCCTGGTCCCCTCTGCTTTCTCCTCTTTCTCCCTCTCTGCCGAGAGTCTCCGGGTGCTTTTTTCCCAGCAGAAGGAGGAGCCTCAGCGGGAGAAGGGGGCAAAGTACTCAGCAGAGACTGGTAGGCTCATCCCTGCTTCCACCCGGGCCACGGCCCGCCGCCACTCCCGCCAGGGCGTACGAAACCACCCTGCGAGCACAGATGGAAGAGGCCAGACCTTCATCCTACAGGATCAGGAGTTGCTGGTGAGGCGCTGGGAAGGTTGGGGGCTGCGGACCCTACAGAGGCCCTAGTCTGAGGGCAGAGAACATGGTGGTACCTGGTCCCAGGCTCACAGGGATCCAACTAGGACCCTTGCAAACTGCTTTCAAGCCTGGCTTCTCCCAGGGAACCTTGCGCCTGAGACCATAAGGCTCGAAAACCCCAGACCTGGGAGTCAGGAGCCTGGATTCCAATCCCCAGCTGCCTCTAGCCTTCTGTCTGAGCCTTTCCCTCTCTAAGTCCTTTTCCCTCTCGGGACCTTAGTTCCATGACTTAGCCAAACTGGGAGCACGGACACGTTGTCACAAGGTCTGGTCCAGCTGTGGCACCTGACGTGTTAGCGAAGGGAGCCACGGCGGTGGAATGAGAAGCCTGGAGGTGGAGGCCCTGCCTGGCGTGTCATCACCACGCCCAGCCTGCTGCCCCCACCCACCCCCCCACCCCACCCCCCCGCGGCCTGCAAGGCTGGTCGCAGCCACCTCCCCACACCCTGGAGCCGTCTGGTCTGTGCTGCAGTGAAGCATAAAGCCCCCTGCTCTGTGTTCGAGTGTCCCATGGGAGCCTGAGAGGCAGGAGTCGTGCTGGTGGACGAGGCAGTGAGAGTCTCTGTTCAAAGGCGCACACATTCTCCAGGAGAGGCCAGACCATGACAGCATCCTGACACCTTCCCTGTGACCAGTGCTTTAAAGCACGCAGTCCCCTTGGAGCCTCACGACAGTTCAGGGAATAGATAGAGCAGACAGGACCCCATTCCACAGATGGGGAGGCTGAGGCCCTGCCGGGTGACAGCCCACGGCCCAGGTCCCCGGAGAGGGCGCAGCATAGCAGGGGCTAGAACACAGTGCTTTCTCCACCACAGGGCGGCCTCACCTTCCCTGGAAATAGGTTCTCGGGTCCTGTGGGGAGGGGGCACAGGGCAGGTAAGTTGGATGCGGAGAATGGAGAGGGACCCCGGGCAGATGGGGGTGGGGGTCACCTCAGGGGGCGGGTACCCGGGGGTGAGGGTGGGCAGCCTAGCAGTCGCAGGCCTGGGGAGAGGCCCGGCCCAGTTCCCGCTCTGCCAGGGATGAGGCAGACCTGCTGGGCACTGACAGCGCCCCTCGGGTCCTGGGGAGACTGACCACCAAGCGCTGAGGGAACCCCACTTTCCTAGGACTCCGGGGGCTCTGCCTCCCCCTGTGGGCCCCAGCTCCACACAGGCACAGCCGCCAGCAGCAGCCTGGCCTAGGGAGCCCCCATCGCCCTTCCAAGACAGAGCTGGATCTCTTGCCGATGATCCCCGACTGGAGGACGCCGCGGGGAAAGGGCCCTGAAATAGCAAAGATGCCGGAGGCTGAGAAGGCAGAGAAGGCGGCTGGGAGCGAAGAGCACAGGGCTCCGGGCGGGAAGGAGCCCCCGGCCGAGCAGGGCACAGAACCAGCTGACTCCGACCCTCAGGCCGCCCACGGGGATCACCCCACCTCTTTGCTAACATCTCCAATCTCTGAACTTGGGAACTTCAGGGAGGGGAGGCCCGTGGGGTCCCTGAAATCCCCACACCAAGGACCCAAGCATTCGGGACTCGGTGCGTCTCTGAGGAGCTGACGGGCCAGCCCTGACCTTGCCTTCCCAGTGAGGGACTTTGGGGTACAACCAGCCCAAGGAGGGCTCAGGGACGAGGGGTCCAGGTGTCTGATTCTGAGGTGATTCTGCGAGGTGTCCTCCTCTCTCGAGGCCTCAGATGCCTCATCTGCCCAGTAGGGAGGTTAAGAATCTTCCTCCAGGGCTGTAGGCAGAGAAAGCTTTCTACAAAGTGTAAAGTCCCATGCGGAGGGGAGGCAGGGACCATCGTGGGGACCCGTCTAGCCAAGCAAGGGCTCTGGGAGACCACTTCGCGGGGGAGGCAGCTGTGCAGCCAGCTACAACATGCTGTCCAGCCAAGCTGACTCAGGCCTGTCGTCCTGCCCACAGATCCTGGAGCTGCTTTCTCAAATCCTGCAAACAGACTCCTTGAATGCTATCCAGTTCTGGCTACTCTACGCGCCCCCCAAGGGTGAGGACACAGTCCCGGGCCCAGAACCTCGTCTGAGTGGAGACCGCGGAGGGCTGTGTCCACTGTTTCTGCGGGACTCAGGTGTCACTAGGTTCCCACCCCAGGGCCTTACACGGGGGCCTCTCCACCTTTTTGGAGCCCCAAACTAATCTCTTCCAGCTACACAACGCCACTGCTCCCTCCTCCACATTCCTCAGCAGGATTTCCACGACCCTGCTCCTTAGAGGGGACCCCCTCCTCCACACTGACGGTAGGCCTCGGCCCCTGGGAGGGAGACATTCAAAGACCATACTTAGCAGTATCCACCACTGTGGGAAATGCACATGCACAGAGATGCAAACGCACATACATAAGAGCGCACACACGTGCACATGAACACGTAAATGGATGTACACATACTCACTGGGGCGGCAGGTGGAGGGTGTATCTAAGTGGGATGGTGAGGAGTGATGAGAGCCAGAGAGCTGATTGGACGGGAGAGTGGAGGAGGGGGGGAGAGGGCGGGTCCCCAGCAGGCTTCCCAGGGGGCCAGGGGGCGAGGTGGCAGGTGAACCAAGAACCAGGGACTCTCGAGAGAGGTGTGGAAGGCTGAGGCACGCTGCACACACAGGGGCCAGAGAAGTGTGGCCTTCCCCACGGGCCCCCGAGAACAGAATGTGAGATGGTTAGAGAGGGCCGTCTGGGCCCACTGGGCAGAAGAGCTGGAGGCCCCGCTCCCTGACTTTCCCACGTAGCGGCAGGATGGGGGCCGAGGTCTCGCCCCTCAGGATTCTCCCCCCGCTGTGCTTACAGAGAAAGACATGGCACTAGGCCTCCTGCAGACAGCAGTGGCTCAGCTCCTTCCCCAGGCCCTAGTCTCCATCCCAGCAGAAAAACTCCTGAACCAGCTCCAGGAAATTCAAGAACCACTTCAAGAGAGGCAACAGCTACCCTACAGGTGGGCTTCGCACCCCTCAGCTGCCCCTCTCCTCCCTAACATTCAGCCACCTGTCCTCCCAGGTGAGGCCAGTGGAGGCCAGAGGAGGGAGCCCGGTGCTGGCCAGAGCCTGGGCTGCCTAAGCCTGTCCTGGAGGGAGAGGCCCATGCTCTCCCCTGGAACCCCCCCAGTTCTACCTATGCGGCTTGAAAGCTTACTCTGCCAGACCAGACTCCAGGGGCCAGCTGTGGGGATGCTAAGGGGGTGACCTGTGTCAGTTATAGCAAGACAAGGCTGGGTAAGCCACATCTAGCTCTCCAGGAGCTCTTGGTCTTTGGGAAGACACAAGCAGAGAAGGAACGGTGATACAAGGCAGGCAGAAGGACCTTTATGCCGGTATTAAGTCCTCTGCATGGCTGGAGAGAAGGATTAATGATGAGCTGGGGAAAGGGAAGATGAGGGAAGTCCGCACACAGCAGGGGAGTGGGGCCTGAGTGTCAGCCATGGGACCAGCAATCCTGAGTGCCCACTATGTTTGCCTGACACCGCTGGGTGTTTAACACATTTCTAGTCCATACAGCCACCCACGGAGGCAGTATTACCTCCATTTTACAGATGAGAAAACTGAGGCTCAGGAACAGTTGAATGACAGCCCCAAATCACGCAGCTGGGCAGCAGAAAAGCTGGGGTTCAGGCTTAGGCTTATCTGACTTCCAAGCCCAGCAGCGCTCAGATTCACCAGGGAGCTTATTGAAAAGGCAGATGCCTAGAGATTGTCACACAGTAGGGTGGGGGTGAACGCGGAGATGTGTATTTCCAACAGTCCCCTACGTATGTCTGATAGCACCTGGGGACACTGCTGGGATGGATAGGATTTGAACAAGCAAATGAGAGGGTGGGGAAAGTCAGGAGTAGAAGTCAGAAATGGGAAGCGTTAGGGAATGTTAAATTTGGGAGTGGCTGGAGCGCAGGTGGGTGGATTGCTGAGAAGGGGGCGGCTTGCTGTGCTGGCTTGGATGTGCTGAAGGTGTGGGTGCTTGCTCTGGCCCTGGACTTGTTTTTCTTTTCCACCTTGAGACCAGGGGTGGCACAGTGGTAAGGCAGTTTCACTGTGACCTTAGGCAAGCCACCTCCCATCTGTGAGCCTCTGTCTCACCTTCGCAAAACACCCTCTCCTGGAATCACAGGGAGGAAAAATTACATCGGGTGCATCAAAAGGCTCGCTGAGGGCTTCCCTGGTGGCGCAGTGGTTGAGAGTCCGCCTGCCGATGCAGGGGACGGGCGTTCGTGCCCCGGTCCGGGAAGATCCCACATGCCGCGGAGCGGCTGGGCCCGTGAGCCATGGCCGCTGAACCTGCGCGTCCGGAGCCTGTGCTCCGCAACAGGAAAGGCCACAACAGTGAGAGGCCCGCATACCGCAAAAA